TGCACCCGTTTCCCTGTGAAAACCGAACAAAAATCACGTCCAAAACCGCACAAAAGCAGATTTTTGAGCGGCCGCCATTTTCTTTCCAAAAAGGCGTATGACAGTTTCAAGTAGCCTATAACCTTCTTACACATCTATAAAACAAAGAAAAAAAGTTTCATCGAAAGCGGTGCACTCGTTTTCCCGTGAAAAGCGAACAAAAACACGTCCGCGAGCATTACCGACAGACAGACAGAAATTGAGATAAGGCTTGTTTCGGCTTCTCTGGTGTATGAAACGTGAAGATATGCAAAAAGTACACTATTCTAAGCAATGTACAGACAAAACTCTTTATTTTATTTATATAGAAGATAAAGTAAACATTTAATGCCAGATTCAACAAATGCGATTTTTGTAAAAGATAAAGTAAACATTTAATGCCAGATTCAACAAATGCTAGTTTTGTGCACTTTAATATGGCTGCTGTATTTTATTTAGAACACAAAACTGTACCACCTGAAAATTCCACAAAAAACATTTGAAAATTAGAGAAAATTCCCTATAAAATTGGCTATGTTATGGGCATGAAGCAGGTGAGGATGAACAAACTCCTAAAATAAAGGATAATAAATTCAGATATGCTGCATGACTATTACATGTATAATGATAGTTGGACAGTTTGGTTCTTTGTGTATGCGTATAATGATAGTTGGACAGTTTGGTTCTTTGTGTATGCGTATGATGATAGTTGGACAGTTTGGTTCTTTGTGCCCAATGTGTGCTGTGCTTGGACTACTTTGTGTATAATGATAGTTAGACAGTTTGGTTCTTTGTGCCCAATGTGTGCTGTGCTTGGACTACTTTGTGTATAATGATAGTTGGACAGTTTGGTTCTTTGTGTATGTGTATGATGATAGTTGGACAGTTTGGTTCTTTGTGCCCAACAGTCCAAGCACAGCACACACATTGTGTATAATGATAGTTAGACAGTTTAGTTCTTTGTGCTCAATGTGTGCTGTGCTTGGACTACTTTGTGTATAATGATAGTTGGACAGTTTGGTTCTTTGTGTATGTGTATGATGATAGTTGGACAGTTTGGTTCTTTGTCGAGTGATCTCGAATCAGTCTGTCTTATACAGATCAGATCCATCCACAACCTCTTAAAGGTTGATTTTTCTTTTTCTATTAATAATATCCTCATATACCCATACATATACTTTATATGTAAGTGCCTTTGTATGTTTTCAGGCTCTTGGCTCACAGTGATGAGGTGGGTATTGATGAACCTATGGACCAAGATGACTCAAAAAATCAAAAAGTACAAGGTAATATAAAATATTCTGTTGTTTTAAAGATAATTTGTTTAAATTGAAAAAAAAAACTCAGAGTTAACCACTCATTTCATTTTACTATAATCTTTAATTACCCAATCTTTGAACTGAAATGATGCCTGGTCACTATTAAAAATAGTTTGAAAACAGTTAATTTTAATTCAAAGTTACTAGGTATAAATTTAGGCTTACGTCTCCAAGGAAATATATTTTTAAGTTTGCGTTTCACAAAAGCACCTGTTTAGCATTTGCAATAATAAAATAAAACTTTATTAAAAAAACAGCAGACCCTCATTACAGAGCTTCTTGTGAGTTGTCATGACCACAGTGAGAAACTTTTTAGTTGGTTAATAAAAAGTTTAAGATATATTACCTAAGGCAATTTTAATATTCTATACTCATTGGTACTGGCGTATATGCTTTTTAGAAGGCTGTGAAGGATGATTACAATTATATTTATCATAAGACATTAGTATTAGGCCTATTTATTTTCAAACACTACATTCTTAATCTAGTACCTTAGGGATTTTCAGGTATTAGGAGAGTGTATAACAGTAGCATTTCAACTACACTATATTTGTCATATCCATTGCCGATGACCCATTTTGCTCACTCCAAATCTCTTCAGGCTGTAAGGGTGTAAAAAACATTTTTTGAAGCTAACGGCTAGAGGAAAAGGTAGTTTGGAACAAATGCACGACATGCAAGCTGTGTCTAGAGTCCCAACCATCACTTTTAATCATGGTTTACCTGTGATATTTAACAGTATGCATCTGATATTATTCTGTTATAGAATACTAGTATAAAATCAAATTCACAAATTTTGGACTTCTTTTAAATAAATGTACATTCCCTTTTTCCCTTTAATAATATTTGTCCTTTAAATGAGGTTAACAGCAGAGGTTAACACGGAGTTTATTGTTTGACGAGAAGCAGAAATAGTGAAAAAGTAAGTTTAAAAAGTTTTATTATTTTGAGAAAAGTTTTTCTATGTTATTTGAACAAATAATGTAAACATGTATAATTTATTCCTTTTCTCCACGATTATTGATTTCTCTAGTGGTTGGCCAAGGAGACAACAGAAGCCTGTCTTTGTTGGACCAAAATAAAATATCTGATGCAGAACAAGAATTGGCAAACTTGGACACAGAAGAAACTAAAATTGATAACGAGAAAGGAGAGGAAAGTAATGAAGTGGAGCAGCCAAAATCCCTCCAGTGTGATGAGTGAGTTTATTTACAGTAATCTTACAAAAGTTATTAGTCTGATTACTTGAACACTGTAGTTGAGAAAATTTCAATTAGCTGTACCAGGAAAGTAATGAAGTGGAGCAGCCAAAATCCCTCCAGTGTGATGAGTGAGTTTATTTACAGTAATCTTAATAAAGTTATTAGTCTGATTACTTGAACACTGTAGTTGAGAAAATTTCAATTAGCTGTACCAGTGCTCTATTTGAAATGTTTCTATAACTTGGACATTTTGGTGATTTTATTTGTCTTGCTTGTGTACCCTCCTGATATTAATTGGTCACTTATTTTGTATAATATCCATATCTTCCAACACTTTTTATTCTGTGTAGAGTGGTACTCTATTTAAAAAGAAATGTTAAATATTTTTACCACAATGAATTATATTTTTTGCACAAATCGCTATTCACTGAGCCCGAGGGCCCCCCAGTGACATAGCAGTATATCTGTGGATTTACACTGCTAGAAACTGGGTTTTGATGCCCGTGGTGGGCAGAGCACAGATAGCTATTTCTGTAGTTTTGTGCTCAACTACAAACAAACACTGTTCCGAGTGGTTGGCGTGCTTGATTTTGGAACCGAGGGTCTGTGACCTGTTTCAACAATATCATGTTTATACTTTGGGGCTGTGGTATAAGAGTGATAGTTAAATTCTACTATTTAATTAGAGTAGCAATGAGTTAGTGATGGGTGTCTTTGACTGTTTACTTTATCAGTTCAGGATTAGGGTGAAAATATCCAGATACTGGCCACGTATGCTAAGTGTTAGCTTAGTGTAATAATTTATTAAAAATTCCACCAGATGTCTCTTGATGGTGGGGTAGAATACTGCTGAAATATATATAGTTGTCTAATGAGCCTGGTGATGCTTTTAAAAAATTTCTATAAACTTTTCTGTTTGTGGCATCTATAATTTATGCACAAGTACCACCTTTTACTATATTTTCGGCTGTCTTTGCTATATTCGTAAAAAGATGGTCTCCTGCTGTTTTTTAAATGAATTATCAATAAGTTTAGAACTTTTTTTATTTAGCTAGAAATAAGATGAATTTAGTAATGTTTTATCTATTGAGAACTTTCTAGAATGGTGATATTAATTTACAGTTAATTAGTCATAATTTTGCGGTTTCAGATGTGGTAAGAAGTTTAAATCTGAAACTGAAGTTGAGTTTCATGCAGTTAAATCTGGACACCAGAGTTTCTCAGAATCAACAGAAGAAATCCAACCTTTAACAGAAGACGACAAACGAGAGCAGTTAAGAAAGTGTGTTTTAGTTTTCAAAATTCACCTTTAGCAATTCTTTCCATAAGTTCTATTAAGCATTTCTTAAGAGATGAGGAAATGAATCTGAGAACTTGCTTCTTGAAAAAATTTATTCATTGTATACAATAATGGTAAGACAAGTTTTATACTTTGTTCTAAGAACTGACATTGAAATATTCTTAGTTGTTCAACTTTTAAGAGTACTGAATAATGATTCAAGTCTCTGAATGTATCAGATTTGAACTTTTTCAGAATAATTTTCATCATCACAAGACTATTTCTATTGTTAAAAGAATCCTCACATATTTCTGGAAAGAAAAGAATGACAACACCATCTCTTCATAGGCCTATAACTTTTTCTTAAGTACTTAACAAATTTTATTTCAACTTCTTAATTTTTATTACTACAGCCAAGCACATGTAAAATAGGCCTCACGTTTAATCATCTATCATCATACACATACACAAAGAACCAAACTGTCCAACTATCATCATACACATAGTAGTCCAAGCCCAGCACACATTAGGCACAAAGAACCAAACTGTCCAACTATCATTATACACAAAGTAGTCCAAGCACAGCACACGTTGGACACAACCTTGCGAGAACTAAATGCTAAGACCCCCCCCCCCCCAACTGGCACAGCGGTATGTCTGCGGACTTACAACGCTAGAAATCGAGTTTCGATACCCGTGGTGGGTAGAGCACAGATAGCCCATTGTGTAGCTTTGTGCATAATATCAAACAAACAAATGCTAAGACAGTTCATCATTCATAACAACTTTTTAATAAGTCTTGTAAATCAACCTCTCCCGTACTGGAAGTACCAGAAGTTTCTTCCTCTCACTCGTAGATAAACTTCAAAATTTCAGTATGATTTGACCACCTTTTAATTTGAAAAATGATGTATTTAATTTTATAATGATGTTCTTGATATACATGTCTCAAACTGGTCCTGTCTTTGATTTATTAAACATAGAATTTTTCGTCTCTCGTACAGAAAGATATACGATATACTTTTATTGAATTTTCAAAACACAATAAACAATTAACCCTAATTATTTTGGGGGTTTTGAGTCCATTTTATTTCACCGTTATAAAAGGCCTAACGGTATTTCTTTGGTTTCCTGATCCAAGCTGTGCAGATGAGCCTTAAATGGGCAAAACTGCAGTCCACAGTAGGGGGTACAGCCAATCAAAGAATGCATTAGGCCTCTACATCACAGATTCTCTTTTCAATTTCACATCTGGTGAAAAAGAACAGAAGTCTTTAACATATATATATATATTGGTGTACTTTGGTGACAGATTTTCTTGTAGGTAGATTTTATTAAACAAGACC